TCATGAAGGAAACGCATTGAAACATCAAATGTTGCACCTGGAAATTAAGTTTTGTGTTTTGAAGAGAAAGCACTCTAATAATTTTTTGTTGAAAAAAACTTACCGCCCCAATTTTCCATGGAAAATAGGTTTGGCAGTGAATATGATACGAAAGGAGCAATTTTAGCGAGATCATGTGTACGAATCCGGGTAGCTAGCAAGCTCTGATGTGCATCACGAAATGTTGTATCCGTTATAAGACATCCTTTGTTTTTACGAATCGCCTTTGCGAACCCCTCAGGACCGTCTTTGACAAAAAAGTCACGAAATCCTCGTGGCGGCGGTTTCTCTTGAAGAAGGCATTGCATTATTATTAAATTTTAATAAAAATTGAGAAAATAGTATTTCTATTACCAAGTGGCACTTCGGGAACATGAGCGGTTACGTGTGCAGGTTTCAAGTCGGTTGCTAAAGGTGTTTTTGGGCCATTTACTTGAACCTCGGCTAGATAATTCAAAAGTTTTTGAGCGCGATTCTGACTTGGTTTAAATTGGAAAAGTTCTGGGTGTTCATCAATGAAGTAAGTGTCCACCGATGCGTCCAAAAACTGTTGCTGTTGTAAGACATTCAGCAAGAATGGAATGTTTGTCTGAAGTAAAAAAAGAGAGATAGTTAAATTGCACGAAATAGTGACTTTTTAGAGATGTACATTTTTGAGCGACATGCCTTAACTCCCCGAATTCTGAATTCCTTAAGAGCTCGAATCATCTTAGTTGCAGCATTAGGGTGATTATGAGCGTGGGCGATGACTTTGACAAGAAGAGAGTCGTAATGAGGTGATATTACTGATCCTGCATATGTTGATGCTGAGTCTAACCTGATACCCATACCTTCGCCACTCCGAAACACCTGTAAATGTTATCAATTTTCACATACTTTTAAAAGTTTTAGAGTTACAAACAATAATTTTCATTTTCTTCCGCGGTTTTTATGCTAACTTTACGAAGTTTCACGAGCTAAACAGTCAAAACTTCCAATTTTCTATAAAAGTGTTTTATTTTTTATCGGTAATATCAATTCATTTGTGAGCCACTTCCTTTCAGGCTGTTTTGGCACCAACGAAAATGGAGCAAACTTAAAAATGCTAGTTTTTTTTGGAAAAACTAAGTGAAGTTCAGATTTTCTTTTGCTGTTTGAAAAAAGTTTAAAAAGTTTGTGAGGTTTAAGAATGTTATAACTTGATCAATTTTAGGGTATAAAGCGGTTGCAGCACCTACAAGGCAAGAAACAATATCTCATAAGAAAAAAGTCTCTTTTTAAAAACGTTACCTTCAGAAGAACAAAATCTTGTTAAAAGAGCATTCATTTCACAAAGATTTTAATTTTCTAATTTCTCGCTAGTTTGAAACAAAGATTTTACTTTTTTGCTACAATCATATTTGAATTTCAAGGACAACAAGTTTTTAAAAGTATTGCAGATGAGAGATTATGGTAGTTTTCTGCACAGAAGAGGAGGCTGTGTAAATGCCTTAAAATTGCAAAATCGCTCATAATTCGCAAGAACAAGTCTCAGCGGTATAGGAAAGAACTCCTTCCACAGTCGTTTAAAATACAGATAGTAACGTTTGTGAAGACCGCAAGCCCATTTAAAGCAAGCAGTTGCAAAAGAGGGATAACAAATCAAACAGCATGTTTTGCAGTTGTTTCATATTTTATTTTTGCATGAATTTTAAGCTACTGCTAAAGCATCTGCAATCTCGGATTGCAAAATTCTGCAGTATAACCTCTCCCCACCAAGATTTCATAATGTTTACTCCACCAAATGCAGAAGGACTTGTACTTTTGAAAAATAATTTAGAACAGCGAAAATTTAATTTTCGTTTGCGGATAAAAACCTCGTCAATGTAGCCAATTTATTCACTCATTTATTTGTGAACTGGTCTCAGAATCTATAGCTGCGTTTAAGTCATGAAATTTCTCAAGCAACAATAAGGAAGGGAGGCAACGAGCACACTGACAGCCAATGCAGAATAACTTGCCGTCAACGAAGCTCTTATGATCTTATTCAGAAAATGAAAAATAAAAATTGTTTCAAAGACTAGAAGTGGGCAGATATATGTTCCCGAACACTTATATAATAAAGAAAAGGTTTAGAAAAAAACTGCATAAGTGTTAGTGCAACAGCTAGGCAATATGCAGGGAATAATGTTAGCATCATGATTTTAGCATAGTGATTCTTACTCTGAGTTAAAATATTTGTTTTTAAATAATATTTGAAAACTTACGCCAATCCGTTTTGAACTTTTTTTTTTGTCGAATTCAGCAAAAATGGTGCTTAAAGTTTTTTGCAACTACAGGGAAATCACTGTTAGTGTGTTCCTTACTGAAAAGTATAGCAGCCGCTGCCGAGTGTGACCAATCTATTTTAAGCTTCTTTTCTATGGTACCATAACTACAGAGCAAATATTCTGAGCATCGTGACCAAATTTAAAATCAAATTCAACCTTATTTACTCAACCTGCCGAGAGAGCCTTAATAATTTTACTGTTAAGCGCTTTTAACAAAAATTACTAGCTTTTTCACCTATTATTTAACATGTCTCAAATCTGGTGGTAATCAAGTTAAAGAATTTTTTCAAAGCTTTTCTCCATTTACTAACTGAATGTGCTTTTTGCCGCTCAGTAAAGGAATTAAAAATACAACCCGTTTAACAAGCTTTGATTAAAAATTGCAGTTTGATTACCGTTCATCGTAACCAAAACGTTGTTAAAATAGCGCTTGAAGTTTTTTGTTACTCTCAAATAATTCAGGTGACAAGTTTTATTTAGTATCAGTTAAAAATTAGAATAGCTTTTTTATGACTTCAACTAACTTCAACTCGTCCAGAATCTGGCTGGAAGTTACGAGTTGGATCTTCAGTGGTCACCCTGCACTGAATTGCGCATCCATTGACTTTGATTTGATCTTGTAAAATATTGATATCTTGCAAAGATTTACCTTCAGCGACCTTGATTTGAGCTTGTACAAGGTCAAGCCTAAAGTCCAACATTGAACATTTATGTACCATTGGTGTTTCATAGTTAAGGAAGTAGGTTACTTCCGTCTAGGTAGAATTACTGTGCACTCACCCGGTTATTTCCTCAGATACAGTATGTTCCACTTGTAATCTCGCATTTACCTCGATAAAGTAGTAATTGCCTTTTGGATCAACAAGAAATTCAACAGTTCCTGAAATAAAAATTTTTAAAATTGGCTTACCATCTGTGAAAAAAGAATTTCAGTTTACGACATGCCTGCACTTTGATATCCCACATGTTTCGCAATTCGCAAGGCATCTGCTAAAATCTTCT